GAAATGGTTAGGGCCCCCTAACAATGGGGTCAGGGCAGGGTCAACATCAAAAAGGGGGCTTCTTGTGGCTACTTTACAGCACCCTTCCCCTCTTTTGTCACTGAGGAACACTAGAGTGCACACTGGAGGGTCAACAGGTGTGGTCTCGTGGGTTCGCCGTCTCGTGACGCTTCCCAAATAAATGGTTTTTAAAAAAAGTGCAGCAACTCGTATCTGGGCTGCATCTTCGCAGCGGAGAACTGATTAAGAACAAACACATCCTGAATAGCTGAATAGCCTGAACTTTACATGTCATTAAAAGCAGACTGAGCAAAGCTTCCTGCCTGTCAGCAAAAACTAAACTGTCTGTGGACTCTTTTATTTTTTTCATTCTCAGTGATATGTGCGGCCTAATTTAATTTGAGTGAAGATAACATCTTATCCCGAATGTGAAATATCCCACTTTTAAGATTGTCCTGCACTTCAAAAATTACATTTTATAACCCGCCTGTATCTCAATCCTCCTTTCAAAGCTGACTTTAAAGAAGTTAGTGTGCCGATAACGCCGTGGCTACTTATTTCATGGCTTTAATTTGGATGTCGCTGATCAGCCGAGTGCCCCTTGAACACACGTCTGACCCATTTTGTGATTGAGACAGCGGCCACTTCCCACACCGAAGGCTTTTAGTGGCTGCTGGAGTTTGTTCTACGAATAAACAGCAGCTCTGAATGACCTCTTGGTATAAATTAGCACCGTCACAGATGCAGAGGAAGAGACTGAACCTGCTGTCACACGGCTTTCGGATAACACCTCGCAGCGAGAAGGCTTCTTTAAGGCACGCAGCATTCAGGAGGTGGTTGGCAGGTCTGTCAGAGCGATCAGCTGGACTCCTGCGCTGAACAAAGGCTTGTTGTTGCTCACGTATTTGTTAGAAAGTTAAATTCACACAACAGAAGTAAAATGTTGAAAGTTGTGGTGCGTCTAAATCCCAGCCTGTATGTAAAAGGCTGTGACGTCACCTGTTGGTTTGAAATCGGACCGTTGGCGTCTTGCAGTGGAGCTGACTGGAAACAAAACGAAACATAACAGATTTATCGTCTGTTTTCCTCTACGTGGAACCACAGTTTACCAAACGGACGCCAGACTTGGTTAAAATAGTCTTGACACCAGCGATCAACACCATAAACTCATGAGGACAATGTTGACTGAGGGAACAATTCAAACGAGAAGTCGGGTCTTTCTCTCTGATGGTTCCACATCACTGCAGAGCAAACTAGGCTTGTTTCAATGAACTGCTTTGAAATGCACAGTTTTGCCAGAAGGTGGCAGTATAGACAACACTTGGATAGCTGTAGTAAACACAGTGCCAGTTGCGAAAACCTTGAAGAAGAAGTAGAAGAAACAAGCAAAAGTATTGGCCATTTATGTAAAAAGAAATGGCAAAAATCTTTTAGGATCTGTTGTCAGTCAACTAAACTGTAATTATTATTTTATGTCAGCTGGTGTTTTATATATTTAATGTCATCTGGAGACACAGACAACAATAAAAAAACTGTAAACAGCTGATCAGTCATGTGAGTTAAATGTTCGCTGAGTCAGAACGTCTTTGAAAAACGTGTCCAATTTCCCCATGAAGCACTTTTTCTTTTTCAAAAATATGCAAAACTTAACAATGGGCATAAAAACCCGTTTTGGAAACACTGCTATAGACTGCTATACAATCCAACAACCAGAAGAGTCGCCCCCTGCTGGCTGGTAGAGAGAATGCAGCCTTTCCACTTCCTTGTCGACTTCACTTTTCAAACCTGGACGGGAATGTCCATCTTTTATGAACACACTATGGTCTAAATCAAACATAATAAAGGTCTGTAGTCACTCTAGTTCGATGTCACCGTGAAACGTGCCCAAGATTCGGACACAAACGGACAAAGATGCCGAGACGTCTGTAAACCCACATGGGAGCTGCTACACAGCACGCTTAGTTCTCTACGTACAACTCGACATGAATTAATCACCACTTGGGGACCTCAGAGAAGTTGGATTTCATTAGTTCTCTTGTCCTGTACCATCATGAGAGTTTTGTGAATTTGAATCCTCTGACTTATATAATTATATTCTCCTTTAAAGTTGATTTTCAACATCAAAGGGACAATATAGCCTTTGAAGTACCATGGGATTGGATCACTGTCTAACCCACTCTTTAAGATTCTGTCACAATGACATTAGGGAAGTCATGTGAATTAAAAGACTAGAGAACAGCTCTTGCCTTTGCTCTGTGTCCAATTTCAATCAAAATGTCATGCTGTGCCATTTTCCCTGAATGTGGAACTGGCAAGTGTGTTAGGTTGACATCTTTGTGGCTAAAATCCTGTGACTAATATGTAAATTATTTGACAGTTACACTCCGTGGGATTGTCAAATCAGGGCTATAACTTAAGGAATAACTTGTACGTTATTGTGGGCATTGTTTCAAATTAGATTTAACCATGAATTCTTGCCTGTCGCTCCCCGAGCTCCGGTAAAGCTGTAATTTTGGGTGAATATTACAGAATCACCGAAGGATAATAGACCCAGACTGACTATGTGCCGTAAAGCTATGTAGACAAAATAAACCCTGTACAAAAGGTGATAAATGTATCGGTAAGACAGCCTACAGTCACCTTCAGGGAACATTCCTTAAAGGTTCCCTGAAGGTTACTGTTTGCTGAGCTTTAGGCAATTATCACATAGAGCATCAAACTTTAATTTCCTGCTTTCTGGTGACTTTTTAATGCAACAGTCTGTTCCCTGAAGGTTTCTGTTTGCTGAACCTTCAGGGAATGTTCCCTAAAGGTTCCCTAACGATTACTTCTTGCTGAACCTTCAGGGAACTTTCACCCTGAGCATCAAAACACTGGAATTTCTGATGATTTTCTGTGCACCAAGTTCTTCCCTAAAAGTCGCTATTTGCTGAACTTTCAAGGAACATTTAGGGAATCTTTGGGGAATGTGCAAGTTAGCAATAAACTATTAAATTTCCAACATTCTGGTTGTTTGTTCCCTTAAGGTTACTGTTTGTTGAATGCTAAGGGAATGTTCCCTGAAGATTACTATTTGTTCAGGTTGAACATCGAAATGCTTAATTTCTTGCATTCCACTAATTTTTATGCAACAGTGTGTTCCCTTAGTTTTGCCGTTTGTTGAATGTTAAGAGAATGTTCCCTAAAGGTTGCTGTCTCATGGCACTTCAGGGAACTTTTAGGGAACATTCAGGCTGTGTATAAAAACACATCTTCTCCTGCATTCTAGTGATTTTTGTAAGCACCAATTTGTTCCTTGAAGGTTGCTGTTTGCTGAACGTTGAGGTAATGTTCCCTCAATGTTCTCTAAAAAATGTTACTGTTTGCTGAATGTTAAGAGGACGTTACTTTTGTGTATTTTGGTGATATTTTTTTTTTGAAGCACCAGTTTGTTACTTGAAGGTTGCTGTTTGCTGAACATCGAGGTAATGTTCCCTCAAGGTTCCCTAAAGAGTTTCTGCTGGCTGAATGTTGAGACAATGTTCCCTTGAGGGTACATTTTGTGGACCCTTCAAAGAACACGTAATTTTGTGTATTTTAGTGATTTTTTTGAAGCACCAGTTTGTTCCTTGAAGGATGCTGTTTACTGAATGTTGATGTAATGTTTCCTCAACATTCCCTAAAAATTGTTGCTGTTTGCTGAATGTTGACAAAATGTTACTTTTGTGTATTCCGGTGATTTTTTAAAATGCAACATTTGTATCTTTCTGCACTAGCTGATGGTGTAAATGTATTTAATTGTGTAGAAACAATGAGTCCATATTATGGTTTAGTTTCCTCTTTGTTTCTGACACTGAGGTAAATCCTGGAGCGGACTTCTGCCCTGAAATGAATATGAGCGAAACAGTTTTGCGAACCCTCCTCCTAATGGCTTCTGCTGCGCTGCTAAACTCACTCCTGTCACTTCAAGAGGCCACAGGCAACAAAAGTATCGCCTTTGTTTGCTTTGTGTGTCTGTTGAAACTTTGTGTAGTGACAGACGGACTGTGAGAATAACACTATTGGCGCGGTAGATTACTTGTGACGCTCCAAAGCCTCGGGGAGTTGGCTTGAGATTGCCTGTCTTTGATAAGGTCCTGGCACACAACTAAACCCCGTCCCCGTCTGGAAAAGTTTATTAATAACCCCAGAAAGTTTGCCGGCGAGGACAAACGACGCGCTGTGATCTGCGGCCGCTCGCGGACATTCGTGCGCGCTCGCAGAGGTTTGATTCGGTCGCTTTCGGGGCGTTTTTGCGCAAACGAGACGCAGCGTTTTTATGTATCTTCCGGGACCAGGCCAGCGGTTCTTCACTTTGAAGTCCACAGTTAAACCTTTAGCCCAGTTGGTGCAGAAACAGCCCGGAGGATTCCTGCCGCTTGAAACTCTACCTGCGCGGGGAAGTGGAGAGGCAAAGGGCTCCTCTCTTTATGTCATTTTCTAATTATTATTATTTTTCCTCTTATTATTATTAAACCTGTCCGGGGACGGGACGGGGGGCGCGGCGGCTTTTTTACGCGCAGCCTTGTCGTTGGACTTACTTTTCTAATCAGGCAGGCTGCTCGGCTACACGGATGGTAAGTTGTCGGGAAGCTGTTCCACAGGCCCCCTCTCTTGGCCGCTTTGATGTGCTGCTGCTGAGCTTTGAAGTTGAGAAATGCGGGCTATGTTTCTTGTTTGTGGGCGAGAAATACGGTGAGATAGATAAGAAGCTTATGTGTGTGTGTGCGCTTGTGTAGCCCAGATATATAGAAGAAGAAGAAGGAGAAGGAGGAAAAAAAAAAAAAAAAAAGCTGAATATTTGTCGGGTGGTGCGTCTTCTGGCTGGGAAAAAAGTGGGATGTCAGAGCCCCCACCTCCTCCTCCTCCTCCTCCACCACCTCCTCCTCCAGATTTTGACACCCCCAGTGATCTACATAGGGACTGAGCCTGCCTCCTCTGAGGTCAGTTGTTGAATGGGACAGGCTACATTGAACTACAGCGCCTTGTTTTGCAGCGAGATAACACCACATGTGGCACGGCGCAGGCTTTAAATAGTGCGTGTTGTTTTCTCTCTCTGTGTCTGTGTGTGTGTGTGTGTGTTCTGGATTACTGATCGGGCTTTTTATTTTTTCTTCTTCTTTTTTTTGGGACCGTATTCGACTGGAAATGGAGTAATAGTTGGAACTTTTTCACGGCTTTTCCTCCGGGCTTTTTGTTTTTTGTGGATCTGCTCTGCGATGGTACGTTGCTGGAGTTGCTCCTGTGAGTGTTGAAAATGTTGCGAGACGTTATTTTTATTTCATTTTTTATTTTGGTGACATTTTTTTTTTTTTTTTATCAGCTCGTCGCGCGTAACAGCGTCGCAGGTCTCCTCTCCAAAAAACGCGCCTGTGCTCGTGTTTGGTAGTGGAGACACGTTGCCGGGGCTGTGGCTCGGATAATGTGCCGTAATAAACCCTCTTCCCGGCCGATTGATCGTTCCTTTCTCTCTCCCTCGCTCTCTCTCATTTTTTTTTTGGGTTCATTTTGCATTTACGCATGAGCGACCGGCTTCTCCCGCGGGGCTTCTTACCCCCTTCTCCGTACATTACAGCGCTGTAAGGTCACTGTGGAGCAGATCAGATGCTGCTGCTGCTGCTGCTGCTGCTCGTCCTGTACATTTTGTGGGATGGTGAGGACAAGTGTGAGTGGGAACGTTAGCGGTGATGCAGGCGAGGGGAAGGGTACGGTCGTCCGAGGCAGATTGGGAATTAATTGGAGTTGAAGCCTGTGACATGGACTCGTTAGGAAAACACGTGTAAGCCACAGTTGTGAGAAATCCGGTTTTGGTGAAGGAGTGAGGCTGTGCGAGATGATTATTCTTGTAAAATGCGTTTTGATGTGGCAGATCAATGCACGTAGAGAATGTAGGCTGCAGTTGATCTCTCATTTAGATTATAAATAGATAAATGAAACGAGAAAAAAGCCTTTCATATTTCCTTTCTCTGTGAACCCGGCGAGGGTTTTTTGAAAGGGACTGTTTACTTGATGTCTTTCTTTGAAGTTCAGCAGGATCTGGCTTTGATTAGATCAATACTTTGTGTTTCAGAGTGAAGAGGAGCTGAGAAGCTCCCCCGCTGCTTTTAGAGAGTGAGGAGGATTAGGCTGGAGCTCAGTGGAGGCACGACGGCACTCTCACACGGCAACCAGAGCTGGAGCCATGAGCAGGGCGCTTACGGAGCACATCAGCAGTAGCTTCCGAGAAGATGCTCCTCGTCCTCCGGTGCCGGGGGAGGAGGGAGAGGCGTCATGCTACAACCCCAGCAGATCTGGCAAAATGAGAGCCCAGAGCAAGGTTAAAGATTCGCCCGCCGTCGCCGCCGCGCCTCCCGGCTCCACACCGCGGAGGAACGAGGATGGACTCGGGGAGCCAGAGGGCAGCGCGTCCCCGGACTCGCCCTTAGTCCGGTGGACGAAGTCGCTGCATTTTCTGCTGGGCGACCAAGACGGCGCTCACCTCTTCAAGACCTTCCTGGAGCGGGAGAACTGCGTGGACACTTTGGACTTTTGGTTCGCCTGCAACGGCTTCAGGCAGATGGACCTAAAGGATACCAAAACGTTGCGAGTTGCCAAAGTTATTTTCAAGCGGTACATCGAGAACAACAGCATTGTCGCCAAGCAGCTGAAGCCGGCCACCAAGACCTTCATAAGGGATAGTATTAAGAAGCAACAAATAGACTCTGCCATGTTTGACCAGGCACAGACGGAAATTCAGTCCAACATGGAAGAGAACGCATACCAGATGTTTCTGACCTCTGACATATACCTCGAATACGTGCGCACCGGCTGCGAGAACGCGGCGTACATGAACCACGGCGGGCTGGGCAGCCTCAAGCTGATGTGCGGATACCTTCCTCCTCTCATCGAGGAGGAGGAATGGAGTTGTACCGACCTGAAGGCGAAAGCGCTGGGCTCTGTGGTTGGACTGTCAGCGAAAAACCTGAGGGCTACTGCTACCATCCGGACGGCAGCTGAAGTGCTGGAGAACAGTTGCAGGTGAGTGTGTGTTGTGTGTGTGTGTGTGTGTGTGTTGTGGTGCTTTTCTGACGCTCACATGTTAGTGCTGATCCTCCATCAGTTAAACTGCAGCGAATATGTGGCGGTTATTTCACAAAATGCCTTAAAGAGGGAGAGGGAGGTAAAAGGCACTTGATCAAAGGGTCTCAGAGGAACATGCCTGTATATTTGTGCCCTCCTGCCTTGCAGTTAGTCAGAGGGGTTGGAGGGGTGGAGGGGCGGGGTGGCTACAAAACATCAATGCATCTGAGCCTTCCTTTTAAGTAAATGGTGTCTTGCAGGCAGCCCTCTGCTGGCTTGCTCAAGTTTCCTGTGCTTTGAAACCCTTCCTCCGGTTCAGGAATGAATTCAGACACCGAGCCTCACGACTCAAACAGTGTGATGCTATTGTAAAGTTGTGCTGCGTTTTTTTTTTCCTCTCTCTCTCTCTCCCTCCTCCTCTTTATTCTGCCCACTAAGCCATATAGTTATTGTATGCTGTCACGAAATCTCCTTAAAGCGGAGAAATGCTAATACAGAGTTAAAAAGAACTTGTGCAGTCAGTCTTATGCCAAGCGGAGATATTGTTCTCTTGGTCAGAGATGAAAGCAGAAACTGTTTGTGGAAAGCGTTGGGGCTTTTATCTTAAGAGCTCGTCCCACACATTGTCCAACAGCTGAAATCTTTTCAAGCCAGGAACATTTTCAAAAACTGGATTTTATGCATGAGCCTGCATCAAAGGCTGCTTAAAAAGTTTTTTTTCTCTCTCTCTCTCTGTTTCTCTCTCTCTTCACTCAACTACTTTGTCCTCACATCTGGATGCAATTACAGCTTTGACAGTGTCTCCATAGTTTGGTTTGGTCGGAAAAGTGCAATTTATAGATGATCCATACTTTTTCTCGTCGACTTCTCTAATGAGATTAAACCAGTCTCTGGCATTTTTATTTTAAATTATTTTTTTGTTGTTCATTCACATAATTGATTAAGTGTAATAATAATCACTCCCCTGAGGATTGTATTTTTTTTGTTATCCTTCATGTGAGCAGATAACATCACAGCACAGTTGCTCGTTTGCTTGGAAGTGGCCATGTTGGGTTAGGAACCAATAAGCACCGGGTTTGTTGACATGTGGGCACATCCTGCTCTCTGTGTGTGTGTGATCCCCCTGCATTCTTGTTTTTTAACTAAAAAAGAAAAGCGAGCCCCTCTCTCCCTCTCTCCCTCTCTCCCCCCTCTGTCTCCCCCGTTGCCCCTCACCATCTCTTTAGGTCAACCAATTTCCATCTCAAACATGTGGAACTAATTTTGCCACTGCACAGATTCTTTTTTCCCCTCTTTTTTTTTCTGGAGAAACCTCCAACTCCAAAGTGATTGAAAAACACAACAATAAAACATCCTCGGCTCAGTTCCGCAGCTCCGACCACCGACCCCACTTTCCTATAGATTGTGTGTGTTTTTTCCTTCCTCTTTTCTTTTCTTTTCTGCCCGGCACTTTTATCTCTCTCCTTTCTAGAAAGAGGGAGAAAAAAAAAATCTGACAGAGACTAAGCATGCTTTGGAGGGAGACAGGGAGAGACAAGAGGAGGGGAGGAAGAAGGGGGAAAGACAGGAAAGAGAGAGAGAGAGGGGGGAGATCATGAAAGAAAGAAAGGAGATGGAGGAGGCGAGCGGGGGGAGCCCAGCTGTGCTAAATACCTGACTCTTTGCGTGGACCTTCCAAAGGTCAGGTTTGTGCTTGGGGCCTACGGCTTTAGTCATGCTGGGGTTCTCCTCAGCACTCCCGGCAGAAGGCATTCTCATAAAGAAAGGGGCCCTCCTTCCCCCTTTTCCCTCTCCAACTCTCTCTCCTTCTCACTCCCTCTCTAAAGCTCAAGTTCCCCCTTCCTCCTTCTTCTTCTTCTTCTTCTGCTCCTTCCCTCCCTCTTCCTTGTCCACCCCCTTCACTACTGGAGCAGGAATGCAACACAGCAGGAGAGAGTAAAAGACTTTTTAGAAAGGAGAGTCGGCGAAGGAGGGGAGGGGCCCCCAGACTGGATGATAGCAAGAGAGGGGGAGATAGAAAACACTTTTTTAGAGTATGGGCCCAAACAAAAGGGAGGAGAGCGAAGGAAGGGAAATGCTGTTGTTCAAGGCTGCTCACTTCATCCACACATAACCCACACCTTCATCGCCCTCACACCCCCCAAAAACTCTCATAAAAGTGCCACAGAAAGGTGTTTAAAAATGACCACAAAACAAACACGCAGAGGCCCGGCGTTGACCCTCTGGCCCTGGTCTTCCACAGGTCCCACCGCCGAGGAGACCCCGCCAGCCCCTACTTCGTCAACTCGGGCTACATCTTCGCCCCCGCCACCAGTGCCAATGACAGCGAGATCTCCAGCGACGCCACGACGGACGACTCCATGTCGATGACGGACAGCAGCGTGTAAGTTTGTCTGTTGTTTTTAAAAAAAACAATAAAAGAGGAAAAAGCAGCCGGTCGATCAGTTTCATTACAACCCAGCTGGCTCCCGCAGATAATGTAGCAGCTTCAAAAGGCTCATTTCCATTCAGCTGACCGTGGCCAAAGCTTCGGCTGAATTTTATTATTTCCACAGCATCTAAACGCACCTGGACCAGATTTGAGATTTCACCTTTCCAGGAAAAGAAAAAAAAAATCTCGGGGTGTGAAGAAAAATATTTGGCCTTCACCAGACTCAGCTTTTTTTTCCTCGGGGGGCCGGGGGACTGCACTGTTGTGAAATAATGGCCCGTAATGTGTTTTAATTATCCCCTATGATTGACTCCAGGTAATTCTATTAATGTGCAGTTGTTGCTGTGGCCTCCAGGGAGATAACTCTGGGAAAGTCATTATGTCTGAGGACCTTTTGAAGTTTATTCTGATGCGTTACAGGCTGGAGAAGGCAGAAAAGAAATGAAAAAAAGAAGAGAGAGAACGTCTTGATGTGGGTGGGGGCGTTGCCTCATTTTCCTCAAAGTTGATATGTATCCATCCCACCCACCCTTCTGCCACAACAGACTTGTTTTTTTCATATTATCTAATCGCTTTTTCCCTTTGAAGAGCTGAGGAGGGGGGGAGGAGGGAGGGAAATGGCCATTCGGGCCTCAAGACAAACTCATTGAAAAATGTTGGCACCAAATGAAAGAAGGCTTACTCACATGGTGGGTCGGTTTCCTGCCACTGGCCTCAGCGGCGTGCTGAGATCATGTGTCTGCGAGGCTTTCACAGGGGTTACTCATTTCTAGACCTTGGGACAAGACACAAGGAACTCCCCCTGGCCAGACTAGGACACCCCCCACCTCCCCAAACTAAAATAAAAAAAAAGTAAAAATCACCTCCAAACACCCCTCCTCAACCTCTCTCTCTCCTCCACCCCTCCAGAGCCAATAGCAGGAGTGGTGAGGCTCGAAGTGCAAGGGAGTGAGAAAATAAAGTGCATGGAGTATAAAGGGCTTAACTGAATCGCTTTCAGCCTATTGTTAGGTGAGGGGAGCTTAGCGGGATAAGAGGGTGGCTGGCTGCTTTGAAAATGACTTGCACAACTGAATAGGAGATCCCCATAAAGTAAGGGCCCATGAAACCATGAAAGAGTCCACGGCTGTTTTCTCTTCCCCGACCCGGACAAAGCGCCGGGCCGTCACATGGTTTTTAACCGGGGGTGGGGACAGTTGATAAAAAACATAGTTAGCGAGAGGGAAGTCGGCGAGCTTTTCTTTCTTTTTTTTTTGTTGTTGTTTGGGAGTGATGCTTTCTGCGGCTAAGTTTGGAGTTCTTGTTAGCGCGCCGAGTTCCTCTGGGCTGTTGAGTTTTTACTTTTGAAGAGTTTCCTGTGTTTCTTCCTGCGCCTTCAGGGATGATGGCTTGTAGTCTCAGGGGTACGGTTTGTGAAGCATTGATTTTCGGTAGCAGGCCCCTCGTAGCAGCTCGCTGCGGCACAGGTGATGTCGGCGAGCTCCTCGGCAATGTCACACTGACTCGCAGAAGAAGAAGAAGAAAAAGGAAAGGCTAATTGTTGATCATGTGTCAAAGTCATATTCTTTTCTGAGGTCTTTGACACAGAGATCTTCTCCCGTCCTTGTCCTCGGCTCTCTGCTGCTTCTCTTCATTGGAGGGAACAGTTTGATTAGTGTGTCCTTTTTATAGTGTTTAAAAGACACACTGCAAATTTGAATCTCATTTCCCAGATAAAGAACAAGAAGAGAAGGATTTGGGAAGAGGGGTGGGTTGGATGGGGGGGAGTGGAAGAAGGGCTGGTGGTGGTGGTGGTGGTGAGGGAGGGGGGGGATTTTTTTTCTCTTTTGCTTATATCTTATTTATGGATTTACTTGGACGCTGGGGAATGCTGCTGCACCAACTTCAAACATTACCTTATCTTACAAACCAGCCTTTTGATGTTGCTGAGATCAGAGGCTCACAGCAGAGCGCTTGCCAAACGAAGATGGCAGTGGGTGCATATGTGCATGAGTGTGAGATTTCAAAGAGGCAGCAGAAAAAGTAGCGTTTGGGCTAGGTCAGACACTTCTGAGCAGCCAAAACGGCCAAGATAATTGGCCCAGCTTAAGTGACAACTGACTGGAAAAAAAAAAAGCCAGCAGACAGAACGGGGGGGGAAAAAAAAGATGAGATTCCCAGAATAAATGCCTAATTGTCCCGAGACTACGAGCATTCCTATCTATATCTCCATTTTCTTATTAATATATGAAGAGCTACCACACTTGAGCGGCGTTTTGCTAGCTTGTCTCCAGGCTAGCGCTAACGCTGCTGCTTGCTAAACCGGCGCTGTCAGAGTTGACGCGGACTGATGTAATCTTATCAGTGGGGCTCTGCTTTGAAGCCCACAGTGGGATGTTTAGCATATCTCTGCCATTGTCCTGCCGTGTTTTGTTATGTGCCTTTTTGTTGCCCTGGCTTCAAGGGCTCCCTGCTCCTTTTGATTTAGCAGTAATGTGCCTGGTGGGTGATTACCGGGTGGCGTTGCGTCGGTCACTTCAATGATGAACTGCCTCCCGAGGGGCTCTTCCTCCGCAGAGATGGGCTAATGGTGCTAATGCGCTAACAGTTGGCACGGGGGGGGGGGGGGTTACCGTGAGATGCACCGAAAACAACACCTAGCATGTTCTAAATAAGGCTTTGAGTGATCTTTGACTCTTCTTCTTCTTCTGCAGAGATGGAATCCCTCCGTACAAACTGGGCACCAAGAAGCAGCTCCAGCGAGAGATGCATCGCAGTGTCAAGATCAATGGCCAGGTTACGCTACCCCACTTTCCTGTGAGTCCTACTTCCTTAAGTTCTCCTACTCCCTGCCTCACAGTGCTTTTTATAATCTGATAAACTCAAACTTTTACAACGCCGACACACAACTGGGTCCTGATTCCCTCAAGGAGCTTGTGCTTTATTTTATTTATTTATTTTCAGAGCTCATGTTGTGACAGAATACTATATTTCATTCCCCCCCGCTCGTTTCATATAAAAGTCGGGGTAAATGAAAGGCAGGATTTGCATACCACTTCACTACTTCTTCTTCTGCTGTTTCATTCTCCCTCCACCACCACCACCACCACCCTCCTCTTCTTCTTCCCATCTCGGTGTCTTCTGTAGGGCTGTTAATATAAACTCGTGTTGTCATCTTTGTTTCCCCGTCTGCATGTCGCAAAGCGTCATCCGTAACAAGCATCACAACAATGCTAATAGCAATGATAAATTCAGCTTAAACATTCCTCTTTGAACCGGCTGAATAATTAGTGGAGCTGGTGTTTATATCCCAGCAGCTGAATGGGAGACACATCACTATTCAGTTCCTCTTTCCTGTATCTGGTCCCATTAGTATTTTGGTCAGACAGTGTGTGTTCTTTGAATTCGAGATTTTCTTCTTCTTTTTTTTTTTTTTTTTTTTTTGTTGGACCGGCTCGAGTTGTTGTGAGAAGGTTTGAGGAACTGGGTCAGGACAGATTGACACAGGTTAGGAGGTAAAGAGGCAAGAAAATAAATATGAAATTCTTTTGTCTTCATATCCAAACACCAGGTATGTGCATGTGGAAGAGCTTCTGAGTGTGTGTGTGTGTTTGTGCATGCATTTGACAGTGTTGTTTGTTCCCTCAGTTTCCTCTCTTCCTCTCTGTCTTTTCTCTCTCTCTCTCTCAATCTCTCTCTGTCTCTCTCTCTTTTCCTTTCCCACTTGCACTCCTTTAATGTCTCCCTCCTGATTTGGAGATGGCTCTGTCTCCCATGATGCACCAGCCCCAGGCAGCGGGGGCCCCGTGCAGGGCTGGCGCTCCTTTGCCAGCAGCTCCGCTTGCCTTTCTTCTTCTTCCCTTCATCGTGTCTACAAAGAGATGAGAGGAACAACAAAAAAAGAGTCAAAATCAAGAAAGCCAGTGTGCCAAATAACAAAAAAGTAAGAAAGGGAGAGAGAGGAGCCGGCGCATATAGTTAAAGAAAAAGGAGGATAATGTGACTAGAGTACCTCTGAGCTGCCCTGCATGCAGCCAGGAAATAAATTACTACTTCCCCTCAGATCTTCCCAGTATTTGACTCCTCTATCCTCTCCCTCCCTTTCCTCCCTCCTTCTCCGCCGTGCTCCCTCTCCGCCACCGTTGCCACTTCATGAACGCACATCTCAATCCTCTTCCTTCTTTTTTCATGCTGTTAATTTTGTCCCCCTTCTCCCGTCTTTTTATTTTTTCTCTCCCTCTCTCTCTCTCTCTCCCTCTCTTCTTCCTTCCCCTCTCCTTCCTCCTCTCCTCACTCTCTCTTCTCTGTCGATATCTGGCTTTTATTCGGAGATTTAAAGCTGCGTGTCCCTCCCACCCCTAGTGTGCGTTTGATGTTTGACAAGGGCCCTTTGAAGTGTGCTGACTTCAGAGGCTGCCTAGCTGATGGCTTGGTCGGGCTACAGAGGGTGCAGGCAGGGGGCCTCCCCTCCGAGCGAGACCAACTGCTACCCCGCCATTGCTACCCCCTTCTCTTCCCCCTCGCCCAGCAGCCTGGCACTGCCAAGGGCACTGTGCATGAGAAGATCTGGGGAGGGATGGGCGGCATGGAGAAGGTTCAGGTTAGCTCGAGGGCAAGGGCATGTGGATTAGGCCTTTTTGGAATAGTAGCAGGCTTTTTTGGAACAAGACAGGATTAGGGGCAAGGGCAGTGGATTAATGCACCATATTGCATCCGTCAGAAACACTAAGCAGTTACACTCGCATTAAAGGTGCCCTTCTCCCCCGCAGAGGACACACCGGCTGCCTAAGGAGATGACCCCTGTCGAGCCCTCGGCCTTCGCCGCCCAGCTCATCGCCCGGCTGGAGAAGCTGAAGCGAGAGCAGGACACGATGAGCTCGCTGGAGGAGAGGCTGCAGCAGATCCAGGAGGTACGAACACAGTCTGACACCTCCGCCCGTTTCCAGCACGGCTGCCACTTCGTAGCTCGAGCTATAGCGTCAGGACGGTGGCTCTGTGCTGCGCTACAAAAGCAGCCTCGGCATGTCGAAGAACAGGCTACAGACCGGGGGATTTGAAAGTCTGTCTTGGTTTAGCTGCTTCTTCCCTTTTCCTCCATGTCCTCCCTTATTTCATCTGGAGGAACTTTCATACTTATGTTTCTAGACACACTTGAAGTTCCTTCAAATAGTTAGCACTTAGTTACTCTCCAGTGGCACGTTTGCTGAATATGTGTAGTGCCAGTCTCTTTGTGAAGCGCAGGCACACTCTGCATTATAGATGAAGCGCACCCAAAGCCTGTTAGCGAAGATAACAGTGCGGCAAAAAGAAACTCAAATCAAGTTATCCAGGCGTTTGCTCTCGCTGACTTCAGTGGATGATAGATATAAGTTAGTGTAAGCTGAGATGTAAATTCCTCTGCTGGCTGCCTTCTCCACATGTGACTGCCTGTGAAGGTTTCCTCAATAACGTTTTTTTTCCCCGTTGCTTGTCCAGGAGGAGGAAAGAGAGGAGAGCAGCGACCTCACCGGCAGCAGCTCCCTCCACCATCCTCTGCTCCCGTCCGGCAGCCAGTGTGAGGAAGACCCCCAGGCCATCCTCGACGAGCACCTGTCACGTGTCCTGAAGACGCCCGGCTGCCAGTCGCCCGGCGTGGTCCGGCACTCGCCACGCTCGCGTTCCCCGGATCGGACGGGCGCCGTGGTGTCGGCCGGCCACGGGCCCTTCTTCGGTGCTTACCCCGGGGCCGCCAAGGTTCTGATGTCGGGCAGGCAGTCCACAAAGCACATCCACCACCACTACATCCACCATCACCACGCTGGGCCAAAGACCAAGGAGCAGATCGAGGCCGAGGCGGCTCAGCGAGTGCAGTGCCTCTGCCCTCAAGGGGGCGCCAATTACTCCGACTTCACACCTGCGTGAGTGCAGCTTACGAACACCTCGCGTGGTTCATCTTTCTCACCGACAAAGCTTCTCTGTCTTTGGTTCTAACTCGCCTCTTCTTTCACCTCCAGTCGCTGCAGCACTTTGTCCAGACGGCCCGTCAAGGCCTCCGACGAGGGCGTGTCTTCGCCTCGCCTTCCCCTAGTCGCCACCGACCGCTCTCAGAATGTTTGGCAGTGGATCCTGGAGAGCGAGAGGCAGGGCAAGCACAAGCCACACAGGTCAGCCGGGAGCCACCGCAGCATCAACAGCATCGCCGTCGCCTCCTCTTTAGCTCCCAGCTCATGTTTCCTATCGACTCTTTGCAGCACTCAAGGCCTGAAGAAGTCCAACCCGCTCGACTCCAAGACGCTGCCCGGTCGAACCTCTTGGGGTGGAGGCGGCATTGGCAACGGGGCTCACCTCCGCGGCCACCACCCGGGCCACCCTTACATCCAGGACCCGGCCATGCCCCCCCTACCCCCGCCCAACACCCTGGCACAGCTGGAGGAGGCCTGCCGCAGACTAGAGGAGGTTTCCAAGCCGCCAAAACAAAGGTAGGAAGCTTTAACAGCAGAAAACGCTGTAAATGACGTCCACTGGTTGGTCTTTATCTTGATATCGGTGCTGATTAGTCGTTGATCTCTGATCTTTACAGGCATTCAACAGCAGCCAGCTGCCTTCAGAGAGACAGGAGCCATCCAGCCGCCGCCTTCCCCGCCGGAGGCAGCTCGCTATCCAGCCCTGGACTCCAAACAGACGAGTACGGATTCAATCCTTCTCACAACACAATTCTGCGTTTCTGCCCGTCGCTCAGTTGCTCTTATTTCCTTCGTTTACTTTCTAGTTTTCCAAATTTCATTCCTCGCTTCGTGTTTTTTTTTTTTTTGAGCATTCCCTCGCTCTCCAAGCTTGTGTTTTCGCCCTCTTCCTCCCAGATTTACTCGCTCTTCCCTTCAAAGCGAGATGTTGTGAGTCAGCATAGCTATGTCTTTGAACTCCTCTTCTCTCACTTTTTAATCATTTAAGATTAAACATGCTTTAATATGGAATCCTAACTTCCCACCCATCTCCCAACACACACACTCTCTCTCCTACTGGAACCAAACAAAGATGTGCTAAGTAGCTCCTGGTTATTCAAATTTATCAGCCCCCTTCATGCATTTGTTGTCGAATGAGGCGGATGTTTAAAGTTGAGCTGCAGCCACTCGACTGTGAGGCCTCTTTTAGTTCTTATACGTTGGCGAGCCGAGCTGTCTGCTCGGCGTCCTTAATTAATAACGCTTCAAAGACGTCTCCTCGTGCAAGTGCAGCCGTTTAAAACCGCTTTTGTTTTTTTGCGTTTTCAGGTCCAAGGAGCTGGTGGTCACCTACTTCTTCTGCGGCGAGGAGATTCCCTATCGCAGCATGATGAAGACCCACTGCCTCACCCTGGGTCACTTCAAGGAACAGCTCAGCAAGAAAGGCAACTACCGGTAAGTGTGCAGCAGATCACAGCAGCAGACACTCGGGTTTGGACGGCGTCGGCGCTGTAGCGGGGTCAGTTATCGGCGTGCATTTTGTGTTGGGTTTTTTTGTTGTGCTTGTATATGCTTGTCTGCTAAGTGAGAATGTGAAATACTGGAGCCTGATAGTTGAAAAGAAAGTGGGCTGATCCACTGTATTCAGAGCTTACAGAGAGAGACGGGAGAGGAAGGGGGGGTTCTGGAGCGAATTTTTTCTCACATCTGGTACTGATTTCCATGCTAAGGCAGCCTTAATAAATATGGCTTTGAAGCCTGGGCCATTTTATTTTGTGCACAAAGACCATTGCAAGGCCTTCAAATTCCTCCTCCACACTATTGCATCAGGCATTAAAATCAAATCCTGCAAGCACCTTCTTCTGTTAATGGCACAGCACAGAAAAAAAAATAAAAAAGAAGCCTCCTGTCTGTGCCAAATGATGAGGGGAAATTCCTAACAAAGTAAGAACTTGTTGGGTAATTTAAAATATAATAGCCAGCCAGTTCAAAGAAATGTTTAAATCAGGAAGCCTACAGTCCGGGAAGTCCAGCCTCGCTTTATCAAATAACTCTTCCAGTGCTGCGTAGGTTGTGTGCCACTGAAAACACATAAAGCCTGCATGCCCATGACATCAACATCAGGTTTCAGCCACATCTGCTTGTTAGGCAAGAGAGAGAAGAAGGCCTGCAAACAAGTCATTGCACCCCTGCTATCCCATAACTCTTCAGCGAGCGAGAAGGGGGAGGTGGGGATGAGGCGTCTGGCTTCAATGGCAGCAGAATGTGTGGAGTTGGTTAATTTGGACATGGCAGCGGTACAGCGGAGAACAGTACGCCGCGGCTCTGCCAGACGATATTGGTGCCAGATGTTGTGAAGAGAGAAAAATCCTGCCACATAAAACATGTTCCAATGGAAAGACTCCTTCTGTCTCTCCGTCTCACTCGCTGCAACAAAGTGATGACTTTGAACTATTTGCGAGTTGAAAATGACGCGTTTTCCTTCTGACAAAAAAAAAAAAGAAAGTCCAGCCAATTAAACCGAGGAGGATAATGCGTTTGTTTTTTTTTTTTTAGTTTGGGTTAGGAAATAACCGAAACAGCAAATGAAGAATAAAAGGCCACATCAGGCCCAGCGGAGGAGAAGTTTGTCGACATGCAGTATCGTTACAGACGACCGTCACGTTAGCGCACAGCGGAGCAGAAAGTTTAGCAGCTGTGATGAAGAAACCTCCTCCTCCTCCTCCTTCATTTGTGTGCAATTACAATCAACATGGAAAATCAGACTGTATGTGTACGTTCCTGTCCGCCCCGCCGTACATGTGTTGTTTGAATGACTCTGAGCTGAGCTCATAAAACACTGAGCTCTTTCCCCCCCTTTTTTCTTCTTTTTTATATTCTGAACGCAGGCACACATGGGCAAAATGAGGCATTTTTCCATTACAAAGCTTATCATTAAATCCCCTCCCGCTGATCTTTTGCTGGGTTTAAAGTAGAGAGGAGAAATCATTAGGAGCTCCAGGAGACTTCACAGTCGCTGGGACCGAGCTAACCCTGGGAGTTATCTCTGCTTGAGAGAAGAAGAAGAGTGGGCTAGCTAGGTGACCCGTGACCTCCAGGAGACTGTCTGAGCAGCCGCCACCCTCCTCCTCCTCCTCCCCCTCCACCCTGCCGGGGTAAAGCCCCTCAGACTCGGCCCGCATCCAACCCATCACGCCCACCCTGCCGAGCCAGGGAAGGCCTCCGCTCCTCTGCTTCCCCCCGCTTTCTTCCCTTCCTGTTCCCTCCTTTCGCCTCTGTTCTCTGCTGGTGATCGGAAGGCTGCCCGAAGTGTGTGCACGTCCGCGGCGGCCGGCGTGCGCGAGCGCGTGTGTTTATGTGCAGGAGGCTGCAGAGTTGTGGTCTTGCAGACTCTCAGGCACCTGAAATGTCAACCTGTGTGACAGAAAGGCCCTTCATTTGACAGCCAGCCCAATTAGAAGCCATGGAGACACCGAGGAGGGAGGGGGCGCTGCAGAAAACAGAGAGGGGGGCCTTAAGACAGCCTCTAATTAACCCTTCAACTTTAATAAGACCTTGCAGGACAGATAGGCATCTGCAGAATGGGCAGCAGTCAGGACGAACAATCGGACGAGGAGACGAGCGCGCACACACACACACACACACACACACACACACACACACACATCAACACAAACAGGCTGTTCCTAGCAGCCTGAATTATCACAGGGAGTGTTTAAACGGAGGGTTCAGCTCTGTTTGCGCAGCGGTGTGATGTGGAGTCAGGCTCCAGCTTTGAAGTGTGCAGGGATGGCATTGAAGGCTATGACTAAGTTGTTTTGAGCAGGATCCATTTCTGGCTCTCAGAGTGTGTGTGTCTGTGTTTGATTTGGACTAAAGGGAGTTGTGCGCGAGCGTGTATATGTAAGTAAGTCGTGTAGGTGCCTCAAAGCGGTTTTAAAAAACACGATGAAATGTATCAGATGCACTCCTGCTGCCACTCTGTCAGGTTTGACTTGTTGTTGTTTTTTTTTAACTCACCTACGCTAAATGTTTTCTAATCACAGCCTCTCTCTCTTTTGTTCTGTCCTCCTCAGGTACTACTTCAAGAAGGCGAGCGATGAGTTTGAGTGCGGCGCCGTGTTCGAGGAGGTGTGGGAGGATGCCACTGTGTTGCCCATGTATGAGGGCAAAGTCCTGGGCAAAGTGGAGAGGATGGACTAAAAAGAAAAAACAACAACAAATAAACAACAACAACCAACCGATGCCCTTTCCCCGCCCAACCAAAAGCTAAGAAACTTGAGCGAGAGACTCTGTAATTTACACGAAGCAGAAAAGAAAAACACTCTGGACTCCTTTTTTTTTTTTTTTTTTGTTAATTTTCTATTTCTTAATATTAAGCTAAACAGAGTTAATATATCCAGCACAAGAGGAGCGATTGAAGGAAGACGAGCCAATGAAGTATGCCGAAACCCCGAGGAGGCGCCGCCCCTTTCCTGACTTTCTCAACCAATCAGCCTTAGAAACACAAGGGAATGACACGAGAGACTTAAAAAGAAACCAGACCAATACGAAGATGATGATGATGATGATGATGATGATTGGAGGCCAGTGGGGGGGGGAGGGAGACCCTGCCTCTTCTTGAATATAACCACTGAAGATGTAGATGAGCGTTGTGATGTGACGACAGACTGAAGCCAACCTGCTCTTAACATCACACTCCAACACAAACGTCCGTACGTGTGCATATACATACATGCCTATATGTATATATACATGTATTATATATATAGATGCTTTTGTCATGAGTTGAAAGTTTTTATTAAGTATTTATTGAAAAAAACAACAACAACAACCCTCCCCCTCCCCATTTCCCTTTTTATTTCCAGCCAATGGGCAAGCTGCTTTGAATGTTGGGAGAATACTGTGGTGATGATGATGATGATGATGTTTTTTTGTTTTAATGTTACACAAAAGGACGTGACACTAAAGCCTAGCGCCTCCCATAGCCTTGTAGCCACGTCCGACCCAAACTAACAACCTTAGCGGCGGCGGCGGCGGCGGCGGCGCTGTCCGAGGCGCGCTCCCTCCTTCCACTATTCTAATGGTCAGTCCCAGTCTTATATGCTGCTGATAGTTTCTACCACACTAGCATCTCCTCCCCCCGCCTCCTTCTCCCCTTTTCTCCTTTGTCTCAGTCCGGCGACGGAGCTCAATCTTTTTTTGTTGTGCCTTTGTTGGTAAAAAAAAAAAAAAAACAACAGAAAAAAAAAAAAAAAAGCAAACAGGCATTGCACAGGGATTGGGGGGTGGTGGTGGTGGTGGTGGTGGTGGTGGCAGATCCACACACAGAGGAGACCTGGAGCACAAGTTGTACCATCTAATAATGGCAGTGTTTACAGCCCCAACACCAAAATAACTTGTGCTAACAAGAATCAGTTTGGGTCGCTGAGAAACGACTTCTTGAGGAAGTCGGCTAGCGTGTCAGAAAACACACACAAACACACACACACACATGAAAAAAAAAAAAAAGGACAACAATTGAAGAATAACGGCTGCGATGTCTTTTGAATGTGGTTACAGTGACAGCGTATATAGCAGAGCTCCTGTATACAGTGTAATTATGCATTCTGAAGTACGGACAGCGACACACAAACACACAACACAACACAACACACACAGAATCGCTGGTGTTTTATGAGTACAGCACCTGTGCCTACATGGACGCCATACCATGTGCTACCCTGTTTCAGGGTTTTAATATATATCCCTTGGTTTTCAGAAGGGTTTTATGTTGAAAAGATATTTTTATGCTTTTAATAATATCCTGTAATCATGTTTTTTTGTTTTGTTTTGTTTTGTTTTTACACCACGGCCTTTTGTTTTTTGGTTCATTCTATCTAAACTGTAAATTATACATTATATAAAGAGTTTCATTTAAAGATTTACATGGACCTATAATTATTGTAATTATTGAGAGATGTAGCCTTTATTAAAGTTTTATATTTTTCAAATGAACGCTGACGTGCCTGGAATCCTTCCATCGAGTTCTTTGGATTGTCGGGATGTTTTTCTGACAGTTTAAGGTTGGTTTTGATGCTATAGTTGTTCTGGGTTTCCTGCTGAAGCATAAACACTCACCTGCCACTTTATTAGACACAGATATGAAATTCTAATAGTTTCCTCCCTCATGTTTGTTAAACAGGTGGACAGTAATCACCTCCCTGACACTGGAGATGCTGAAGCTTCATATAAGTAGAATTTGTTGCGTTACGTTTCACAGGTGTGCCCAACAAAGTGGACGCCTTAGATGCTCAACACAAATGAAGAGCTCCACCAGTTAATCACCTCCATCCTGCAGGTCTCTGCATTGAGTCTGCATCTGTTTTTAAAATGCAACTCGTCTTTTTGTTTTTCGAGGTTGCCGGGCGTGGCACGTTCCACAAACATGTCCCACCAGTAGTGCTGTGAGTACAGTGTACGCAGGATTGTTGTACTTTGTGCAGGTTGCATCAAATTGTGGTGGAAATGCAGCTGAAAAATCACAAAGCGTTTCAAAGCACCGGCGTTCCTGACTCATCGTTGACTCATTGGCTGCTACTTACACTCTTATTTATAGTTTTGATGAAGCGGAGGTAAAAATGTTCGGTGCGGTTTACAAATTTCACTCTAACCTGCTAATAGGAGCGAGAAGCCTCACTGCGATTCAAAATCCTGCCCCGTCCTCGGCGTCCGAGCAGCCGGACGTCGTTTACTTTGGCCTCAGTGGTGAAGCTGAAATTTTAGATCAGAAATAGACGAGAGAATTCCTGCGCCTGTTTCTTCATAGGACATAAATTTTGGTCTTTGAATCTTTATCAAACAAAACTAAGGGATAAAGAACATGCCGGACAGATGCAGCCAAGTCTTAATCAGGGACTAGAAGCTCCTTCAGCCAATCAGAAGGAGCAACAACAAGCCAATCTGCCGTAAACAGCAGCTAGCGAATCAATAAATCCAAATAATGACGATTGTAAGATTAGACTCACGGGTGCAGATGTTGTTTGAACGTGATGCCAGTTTGTGCTTCTCTTGGAGGGACGGTAGCCTGTGTTGCTAATATTAAAAGAGACGTATCTCCTTGCAAAGTTCGGATCATCCACACCGTTCATCAGACTTGTGGTAGATCTCAACACCAACATTTCAAGCTGAGCCTTGAGCTTCAGGCTTCACCATCAACCCTCAGGGTGTCTGGGTCACCTTGTGGTTTTTGAGAAAACTAATCAGAACCAGTACAGTTCTGGCCGGAGACCTTCTTGTCAGGTCAGCTCAGAGATCACGTTTGGCTTCTGGTCATTTTTAATCTAACTCCAGCTCTTCAAACGATCAGAAGCGGAGCGGACGTCTCGCTGCACTGAAGCGATATACGATGAAAACGGCACAAAGTCGGAGCCGAGAGCGCAGAACCTGTTGTTCAGCACTCGCAGGAATTAGTCCTGACAGCTACCAGCCTCCTCCGTAACCCGCGTGTCTCCGTAATGAAGAACATAAAATGCTGTTACAGTCGTCGCCATCAAAGAGCTACAGTAGCGCGGCGGCGTGATCACAGAGCGGCGGAGAGGTGACTGGATCCCAACCAAATCAGCAATAACATGAATAAAACTTACTCTCCTCACTGCCGGGAGTTTGGACCGGAAACGAGCTCGACCCGGTGCGGAGAGAGTAATTGAAGCTGTTAATTCACAGCGTAAACAGAAATCAGTGGAAGCCCGTAACCTTTTGATGCGCTGCAGCCCCTCGGTGGTTAAACGTGCACGTTCTGTATTCAACGCTTAAATGGGAGACATTAAGCATGGAAATGAGGGCACGGGCTAATTGGTCCTATTAAAGAGCAATGAGGACCAGCGCTTACTCTCTGACAGTCAACACAAACATTAATGAAGCACCCTGCATCCCCTATCAGAGGGCCGAGCCATGTTTCCCCCCAATTATCTGGCTTTATTTCAGCAGTGGAGGGGGAGAAAGAAAAAAAAAGAAAATCGTTTAATAGAAGGAAATAATTCGGCGATGCTGCCTGCCATGTGCACGCTCACTCACTTGTACAATTCAATTCAAATTGTTGACATAAAAAGAGACTTGCAATTGGCAAAAAGCAGAGGTAGCCACGTAACAAAGATAACAACAGTCATTACTGACAAGCTTTCACTTCCCACAAAATGATTTTCTCATTTCTGTCTCCCCTGGTAGCTGTTTCTGGCAATATGGCAAAAAAAAAAAAAAAAAACAAGGAAGAAAAACAGACAAGCCGCCAATGCTCGTCACATCTCTCAGATCCTGTAGGTTCTTCCTCCTCCTTAAAGCCCGTACTCACTCCCTTTCTGCCCTAAAAAAAAATCATTTCTGCAGCTGAACAGTTTGTATTTTTAACACCACAAATAGCAGATTAATTCTCCCGACTCATCAAAGGCACAGACTTCAATACATAATCAATCCATTACATACTCCCCAAACCCGAAAATCAATTCCTGCATGGTTTTAGCCCGACAATGAGGAGGCTTTAATCGGGCTGAACCAGCTAGTTTCTGCTGAACTGTCTGGAATGGGGCAGGTGTAACCCTCCACCCTCCTCCACCTCCCCAGCCCCTCGCCGACTCTTCCCAACTCTATTTTTACAGCCTCTTGGGGCTCCGGCTTTGAAGGGGAAACCTATCCAGGAAAATTGCTTGCATTTTTCCCCGCCGAAGCGTTGATAGATGGACATTGACTGTCGCATTCCCCTCTCTCGCCCATCAGGAGCTCTCGCCCCCCTGCCCTCCTCTCAGCCTCTCTATGACATTCCTGCCCTAATAGGCGCTTTGTTGAAGTGCAATGCAGGTTACATGCAGGTTCTGAAGTTCCTGCTTTCACAGAAACTTGACTTTTCATTCGATGCCTTTTTTCACAGTGTCTTTTCATCAGCGGCCCGACATTTCCGCGCTCGTCTTCGGCGCCCCGAACGTCCCGCGCGCCGCTACCTTTCGTCTCCTCTGCAAACAGTGGCTTCTCCTCGCATTGTGGCGAAATTGGCATAGCGCGGTTGCGGCTATTGTAAACATGGCTGTGCGGTATAAAGAGGCACCAGTCGCTCCCCAGGCTAAGCTAGTGTGCGAAAGCAGGCAGGGGCTGGTGCCTATTGTGCTGCCGAAGCCTTTGTAGATTTGCAGTGGGCCCCTCTTTTTAATCGCCTTCTCATACACCGCCTGCCGACTCGCTTTGCATATTTAATTGCCAGGTAAAATCATTTTGTCGACAATCCGTTTAATTATTTGATTGTACAGTAACCGTAAAGAGTGAGCGAAAAGGGAAGTGGAAGGGATAAAGAGGGGGGATAGAGGGAAGGAGGGAGAGAGAGAGAGAGAGCAGCAGGCAGCGGAGAAAGAAAGGGGTCTTTTGCCAGAATAGACATCAAAGCTGTGCCTTGATGTTGATGTTGAATGGGCATTAATGGTTTCTGAAGGCAAGAGATTGCACAGAAAAAAAAAAAGAAAGAGAGAGAGAGAGAGAGAGAGAGAGAAGAAAAAAATAAACCCTCCTTTCTCTCTGACAATCCCGCCAGCCATCTCAGTAAATGCATAAACACTGGAACCCGGTGCCAGATAGAAAAGAGGGTTGAGCAGGAAAAGAAGAAGGAAAAAAAAAAAAAAAAGTGAGAGAAGCAAGTTGGGTTTGTTCACTTTCCGGTAATGACCGAAGGACGAGCGGCGGAGGGGAGGCGGGTCACGCCGGGCCGACTGGAGGCCATCAGGAGGCTGAAAGAGCAGAAGATCATCAGAGGGAGCTCAGAGAACAATACGTCAGGTCAGCGTGGACGCTGTAGGAAGCTCTGTGAACGCTCACGATGGGCGTTAACGTATGTCAAAGCAAGTCCAGTTCAAACATCGTAGTAAATGATCTCCCTAAAAGCTCATCTCTGTGGATCAACATTGCCCTTTCCTGCCTCAAAATGTCTGACATGTGACTGCTTTGTCCAGGATGTGCACATCTCTTCATGCACTCTGCAGCTCGAGCACACCAGCTCACCGACATGACCCGACTGTACAACTGGTCAACGCTACATAATAATGAAGCAGAAAGCTCCACACTGCAGGCTGACAGGATCGGTGCTTTGGGTTTGTCACATATCAAAACCTGAAGGTCTGCGTCGACGGCATCGTTTCAAACACCAAAAAACATCATAAATACATGTCAACCAGGTAGAAACTGTCCATTAGAGGTGTTCACCAAGACACTTTGATAGTTATTATAAACCTGAACATGCAGTGACTGATTATTGCGGCTACTTGAGGACCTCAGACAATCTGTCCTGATGAGTTTTTTTTTTTTACTGAGGTGTCCTATGGAGGATGAAGAAGAAGATAAAGTTTCCCAAAGCGTTGCCCTCTGACCCCCTCTGACCCCCTCTGACCCCTGTCATGTGACACTGCAGCATGGTTGACTTTGTTTGAGGATCCAGGTGAGTATTTGTTTACAAGTTATGGAAATGATTAACAGCAAATTATTTAAACCAGTGGATCTTCTGTGAACCA